GTGTGTCGTCAGGGTGTCGTCGGGCCTGACTTCGTTCTGACATCGTGTGTGTCGTCAGGGTGTCGTCGGGCCTGACTTCGTTCTGACATCGTGTGTAGTCAGGGTGAGGTCAAGTGTCGTCAGATGTAGTTGTCAGATATCTGGCCACGTTGAGCGTTCACCAAAGGAAAAAGGAGCTCCCCTTGTTTCTTGACTGCCTCGGTTTCTGTAGGAAAGCTCTCTCTAGGCCAATGGTATTGCTGGTGTGGTAGAGGAAATCGTTTTTGGAGAGCAAACCGCATAAAATAGCCTTTGGTTGAAGAAGCTGCAGTGCCTGAAGTCACGGAACTGAGGGCGCATTTGGCAAAGCCAAGAGTCCCACTTGTTCACACCTGCTCTGAGCGAGTCATGGACGCTACCTCCGTGGTGGCGATGGGACGATGATGCGCTCACTACCTTGCTGTGAAAAAGAATTACCACGCTGACCCACACACCGCTTTGTTTTGTCGCTGTTGCGTTTAATGATGTGGGGTTGGCGGTGTGTCCGCTTTAGGTGGCGGTGTCACCGCTGTAGGAACTGACACGTTCAATAGGCTGCCTCGCCCCTCTTTGGTCTACAAACAGGGATGGTTTTAGAAGAGCGCTCACACAATGAAAAAACAATGCTTTCCAAAAAAATTCTTAAAACATAACACTTTACAACTTCAAAAAAACAGGTTTTGGTAAAAAAGAAAAAAATAAAAAAAACAAGCTCTTGTCAAACGCCTGCGCTCTACTTAGCCTACTTATAAGTATGGTTGTAAGTTGGTATAAGTAGTAAGGTCATAAGTCAGTATAAGTAAGTTTGTAAGTAATTTGTAAGTAACTGTTCTGGCCTAAGTAACATGGACCTTGTGGTACACGAACCATCCAACCTACAGAAGCCGCACCATTCCCTCGATCGCTCAACACTGGGATGAACAGTCTGATGTGGCACCATATCCAATCATTCGGCCAAGCTGCTTTTACGACTCCAACCGCCGATATACCGGCGAGGAGATGCGACACATTGTCGAGTTAAGCCGTTCGTACATGCAGGGATATCGCGCAAAACAGGGAGACTTTGATCTCGATGAGGCAAGACTTCTCCGATCGACTGAACACGTCAGCGTCTTGCTCCTCAACTTTGGCGATATCAATCGTACGCCTCATTTCAACGGCCGGCAGCCACTATCCAGAGAGCTCGCCGAGACGGACCAATACGCCGTTCTTCCGCACTATCTTAAAGGAATACGGCCCATCTCACAATCCTTCTCGAGGCCAACGGAATCGAGCGACGCAGAGAGCTTTTTAACCAATATCAATGCCTATGTGTCATGGCCGTGGCGGATGGCGAATCACCTGCAATTGCAGCAGTTTGTTCCACAGATATCCTTGGTTCTTCAAGATTGGAACTCATCCGCCGAATCGAGCTCGAAGGCGAACGCCTAGCCTGGGTAGCCCATGCCGCGACATTCCGCGTGATCTGGGGAAAGGTCGATGAATCAACAGATGGAGGCATCACCGATGACCGTGGAGTAAGAAAGAGCCTCCGAGTTGCCCTTGAAGAAGGTGCTGATCCAGCAGATAACATGGAGGTGATCGTCTGCCCTGACAGTTTAGCTGTAGCACAAGCATCCACCACTTACATTGAAGCCGAACCAGTGGACGCAGAGGCATTGTTCCACGAGTGCCCGACATTCCGGACCGGGAGTCTGAATGACTGCAAGCGCGTGCACATGCCAGAACTTCGAGTTTGCGCTTTTCACATCAATGCCCATGCCTTTCAGCAAGGTACAGAAATAATCTGTTTTTTTATAACATGTTATCGATGTTAAATGATTTAAGAAACAAGTTATAAATGTATGTGAACTAGTTATAACAAGTTGTAAGTAGTGTTTAAGTAGGGTTTAAACAATTATAACTTGTTAAATTAAGTAGATGTTTTAGTAAAAATT